TTGCCGCCATTGCCTCTAACCATTTCCCACTGCTCCTTTCCTCTCGGAAGCCTTTGTTTGTCCTCACCACCCGCTAATGGATAGTCAGTGTCAACCATGATTCTCGCATTCAGGTGCCATATACACGTCTCTCTTTCTCAGCCAATCGACAGTCAGCTTCTTCCCCCCTTTCCGAACTTCAGCCATGGCTCATTCGTCACGGCCACTTCTTAGCTGAAAACCGTGAACAACCGTCTTCAAAGGGAATGCTGTGTTCAGGCAAGTTCTCTAGTCGCTGACAGTCGTTGACCACTCTGACTCTGAGTGACGCTTCAATGACGCCTCGACACGCCATTGTTTGCCCCTTTCGACACACATCTCTCTCTCTCTTTCTTTCGTTTCCTTACATGGAATTGGCCCTTTACTGCCACTGCCACTCTCGGTGGTACTGAAGTCAGTCTCAGTCTCGCTGAATTGCCCTTGTCGAATGGTGCTCACTCAGCTAATATCATCACCATATGATACCTTCTCTTCTTTCCAGTAATGAGTAATAGCTGCAGCATTAAACTTTAACTTCAAAAAGCATTGCACCTAACGGATTATTACTTTGTCTGCTGCTGATGTTGATGTTTGGGCAAAGAAGAGAGGCACTCTCGCTGCATGTGACTTGCGCTGACTCTCGCGCACTAACTGCCCTTTTAGCGCTCTTTTGCCCTCTCGGCCAAAGAAAGGTAGCAGTCCGTCGAAGTACTCCGCCACTGGCTAATTGATTCCGTGCGACGGAGCCATCTCACCGGTTTTGTTTCTGATCGAACCTGACTGCGCCTTCCCGCTGCTGGCAACAAAGCTCACAACTGTGAGGTAGAAACAAACAAACCGGCAACGGTGGTTCGAGGTCAGGTCGCAGGCGCCATTAGAGCTGCTGCTGCTGCTGCTGCCTCCCGCTCTTTGGTTGCATTGTCCTGCAAACCTGTCGCCGCAATGGAAGTGCACATGGAGAAAGAGCGCCAGAGAGGTGCTTGCTAACGCTCGATGGTCGTCGAAGCAGCCGCCTCCGAAAGTGCTGCTGCTGCTAGGCAACTTTGCTCGTAGCATTCTTCACCACTTGCCAGCAGCAGCAGTGGTACCACTGCCGATCGATTCCCTCGTGGCAAGTGGCCAGCTTGTAGCGTTAATAGTACACCTGAAACTGCACATACACACGCTAATCGCAAAACAATCGGTGCTAGAACACAATCACTTACGCACTTCGGCAGTCGGTCGCGTCGGACACGATGTGTGCCCCTTTTCTCTTCTTTTTTCGGTTATTTTGTAAGCTCTATTCCACGCTGCCTACGACACATCCTTGTAGATTTATTAGCATTTTACAATGAGCTTGACATTCCCGAATGATGCCAAACTAGTCTTACACTACTGCTGCTTTTATACCAATTTTATATTTTAGCACTTAAATTGGCGTGCACTGTGAATTACCCAACAACGACAACGACAACAACAACACACTCTTGACCATGTAACCGAGATCTGCAGTTTCTCGGCTCACCTCTTTCTCAGGCTGTGGTCATCAGCCTATGGCGCGGACAGCCTTTGATGGAGCTTTTCTTTCACCCTTCCACCCTCCTTCCTACCTCTCTTTCTCTATCAGTGCTTCACGTAATCAATCAATTTATCGCATCTGTCGAGTAATCTAATTGAGCTTAGGCTTTACTCTTTTTACTCTTTCGGTGCCATCACACACACACACAGACCAATTCACTAGAGTGCGCACATTTTCATTGGCGCCTCTGCACTGATGCTTTTTCTCTCCTGAAAGCGGACTGATGCAGATAGTGGTGATGATCCGCCCGAGTCTTCCTCACAACGGTGAAAACATCGACTGAGTTGAGTTTAGCATTACTGAACTTTAGACTGTAGTAGTAGTAGTAGCTGTGCTTTCTGGGAGCTGCAAATGCAAATGGCCTCTCTTTCTCCTAAAACACTGCAGCACTTGCGCACAGACAGCCATTACAATTTATTATTGCATTACCACTGTTTAATTATTCGTACCAGCAGAAACCAGACAGTACAGAAGTGGCGGGNCCCTAAAACACTGCAGCACCGACAGTCATTACAATTTATTATTGCATTACCACTGTCTAATTATTCGTACCAACAGAAACCAGACAGTACAGAAGTGGCGGGTAGTTACTAAGTGTGCAGAAAAACCAGCCGACGGCGCTGGCAGTCGCCAAGGCAGGTCACTAAGTCGACGGATTAATAAGGCCAGATGTCTCCATTGCCGATGCAGCATCAGTGAGAGCGGAAGAGAGGCGTAGAGAATTGGAAAGGGAGAGAGAGAGAGAGAGTCGGGTCATTTGTCTGCATCCTAATGCCCAGACAACACTGTCGTCTGCATTCCACTGACTGGTAAGCATCGCAGGGCGAATATAAGCTCATTCGCCGATTCGACACGTTTCGACTCAAAGTGACTCTATGACGTCCTTACTGTGTGTTTTTCTTGGTGATTGACACTCCGTGCTGATGCTGGTGCTCTTGGTGATGCTCTTGGTGGTGCTGAACTAGCTTCATGGCTTCATGCAAACCGATGACAGACAGGCGCCTGGTAAGGGCGCAGTGAGTCACCACCAGCACCCCTTGACAGCCAGAGACAGCAATCGAACGAGAACGGGAGAATGGCGACGCGTGCCAACACGCGATGACTCACTCATTCAGTGGATGCAACTTGATGGAAACTGAATTTGGTAGTCATTTAATCAGCTTTTGGCAGTCTTACTTCGTCGATGAGTGCACTTGTGTGTGTTGCAGTGCTACTGCCTGTCTATTTGCATGCATCTGCGCCGGTATTGCATCTCAATTGCACTGCTCTCTGTGTTGTCAGCTTTAATCGGATGTGGCTCCCTTTTAACGATGTGCATTGGCGAGACTGTCTTTAGCAACTTCAACTGCAACTGCTTTGCTATTCTCAGTTTTTTTATTCGCCCTACAGTTGCCCATCTAAAATGGAACATCCGTCTTCTTCTTTTTGTAGCATTGTACCAATTAGCGTGATATCAAATCACCATTAGTCACTTGTATTTGATTGCCACTAATGAAGTGATAATACAGTGGAGGCTTGTTCATCAAGTTACAAACAGAGAAAGAAAGAGCAAATAGAAGTTAGATAATAATAACACTGATGATGATGGTTGTGCGGAGACAAATGCCTGTAGGGAGGAAATGACAAGCTGTCATTTAACCATTTGCTTAATATGAGCTCAATGTCAGATAAGTTCTGCAACAACCTTCTCAGCAAAACTTTTGTGTTTAGTTAACTATTTTTACATGCTTTTTCAACTTTTATAGTCGCCATAACTAATTTTTTGAAGCGCTTCTCAACCAATATTTGTTGCAGTTGTTGGTATTGCATCTTCGGCATCTTCAGTGGTGTGTGTGTATGACCTCGTCAGCAATATTCTGTCGGTGTTGTTTGTGCCTGTAATTAAAGTGAAAGTCTTAGTTACAGTCTTGTTTTTACGCAATTTTTGGTGATTTACGAAAGCAATCGGATAAGAGCTCAATGATGCTTGTTTCGATGAAAATGTGCGCGCACTGAACCATTGTGCAGCAGTGGGGTGCCTTCTGGGTCTTCGGTACCGCCACCGCCGCCGGTGTGTTTCCCTAGTCACCAATCACTGATGATTTATATGATGAGCGTTCACTTAGCCACCAACCTGGTGTCGTGTTTCACCGTGCTAAAAGCAACTAGTGCTCAGTATCGATGAAGAGCATTTCCATTTGAATGCAAATGCTCTTTGTTTTTGCCCCGCTCAGACCATCATGTTTGTTCTTTCTCTCTTTCTTTCTCCTTCTCATTGACTGGTCACACCGTTCAGCCGTCTGGCCATAGCGGACTGGCGAATCGAAAATGATGATCGTTCAAAGAAAGGCGCTCTTTTGTGCTGGCACCAGGTAGACACACAGTGCAAGGCTTCTCTCACTCAATGACACGATCGTTTCTGTCTGTGACGTTGTCTCATAAATTGACTCTGCTCCTTGTTGATGCTCTCCTCAATGGTAGGGTAATAAAAGTGTTATTGTTATACTCCTTGCCAGTAATATGCCGCTCGTGAATATGATTCGCGGAAATGTGTGGCAGATGTGTGTCTCTATGTGTGTGTCTGATGGCGGACAAGAGCAAGTGAACAGCTTCGCTAATGATTCGCACTGTGAAGAGAATGCTCTTGGAGGAAAAAGATGCTCAGTGCTAAGTGCTAAAAGACATCACCAACAAGGTGTCCAACTTCATCAGTGTTTGCTGCTGCTGCTCCACTCTTCCTCGAACTGAACACACAGACAGCAGTCTTTTTTGGCAGTGCTGGTGCTGGTCAGTTCAGTTTTGAGAACCCAAAACTGTTGTCATCCCACGTTTCATCGCAAATGTTAGCTGTTCTCTGAATGTTCGCCAAGTAATTCTTGTTACGGTTGGTTTCCACTTTTTTGTTTTCTTTTTTGAAGCATTTTATCTTGTGCCTTGTTGGCACCATCAATTAAGACTGCATTTGCTGCCTCGCATTCGACGCCGTAGCGCCAAAGCGACCACCTTCAGCACTTGTCGCCACTTGCACGCTTCTCCTGTCATTGAGCCAAGCTGCTAGCTAAGCCAAAGTTCTTTGCATGTCTAAATATAAAGATGACAAGTCGGTGCTGCTGATCATTTGTTTTGTTGTTGCCCGTTCTCGTGTCTGCCCTACCGTCGTCGACTTGTCTATTTTCATTATTTCATCATGCTGCCTGCAGATGTGAGTGTGTGAGTGTGTGTATCTGTAGAGCACATTGAGCTCTTGCCCTGCAATCATCGATGTCAAAGCGTGTTCTGAGCATCAGCTGCATTAGCTTGGCGCCAATTGGTGCGCTCTATCGACAAGCACTGTCGCACGCGCCTTCGCACAGTGTTCGTTGAAGTTGTGTCTAATCGTTTCCTCTTCTTCTTCTGTCTTTTCCGTCAGGTTCTGCATTCGCGCCCCAAGATGCCAGCCGGGAAAATGCATCAGTTTGCAGCACTGCAACTCCTCAGCCTTCTGCTGGCCTGCGGCACCATCGGCGCCCTGCAGTCGCCGCCGACCATGATCAAACAGCCGCCACATGAGCAGCTCTTTGAGGTGTTCCAAAACTCGGACACTGAACAGGCTGAGCGGCCATTCGTGCTGGAGTGCGAGGCAAAGGGCAACCCCGAGCCGACGTATACCTGGAAGAAGAATGGCATGGACTTCAGCTACGTTGCCTACGATAAGCGCATCACTCAGCAGCCTCGTCGAGGCTCCCTCGTCTTCACTAAGCCTCAAGCCATGGACGAGGGCCTCTACCAGTGCTTTGCTGAAAACAAACAGTAAGTTTTTCCCACCACCACCACCACCACTTTAACTACCACCTTAACCAAATTAAAACGTTACTGTGGAGTTAATTCTCTCCGATTACCTACCACTTCATTATGCTAATTTGACGGTTATGTTTAATTTTTTCCCAGCGGCCGCTCTGTGTCTAACGCCGTGTTCCTCAAGAAAGCAGAGCTAAACGCTTTCTCAAACGACGAAATTGACAACGTTCACGCAGTAGAGGGTGAGCCGCTGACCATTCCCTGCAACCCACCGACAGGCTACCCCAAGCCGCAAATCTTTTGGATCATTCAGTCCAACTCTGGAGCGCTGATAAACGGAATCAACAGCTCTAGACTTTCCGTTGACCCGGAAGGGAACCTCCACTTTTCCAATGTCACCCATAAGGACATGCTCACTGATGCTCTCTACGCCTGCAGTGCTACCTCAACCTTCAAAACCACCTACAGGATAGGCAGAAGGACGCACCTTCTCGTGGAGCCTTCAGGAACCAGCGGTCAGACTAGCTTTCAGCCCATCAAGCAGTACACATCACCGCCAAATGTGCCTGCCATTAAGGGAAACAAACTGGAGTTGTTCTGCATCTACGGTGGTACTCCTTTGCCCGAAATTAGATGGGAAAAGCGAAACGGTCGAATTAGAGACACCGTTCGGCGAACGAATTACGGAAAAACATTAACTTTCGACAAGGTGGAATTTGCCGATGAAGGTATGATATCATTTTTCTTGACCGATTTCTTTTGATGAAATTCAATAAAAATAATGTATTTTTTGTTTGCTTGTTTACGTTTTCAGGAACCTACGAGTGTGTTGCCAGCAATGGTATGTCCATTCATTTATTATTTATATGTTTGCAGAGCAGAGCATGAACTTATCTTGTACCGTTTGCTTTCAGGTGCGGGCTCCATTCAAACCCACGCAATGGAGGTGGTCGTCAAGTCAGTTCCCTACTGGATTGAGGCTCCTAACAACACTAACGCCGCCGATTCGGAGAGAGTTCGCTTCAAATGCAAGGCTGACGGCATCCCCAAGCCGAAGCTGCAGTGGTTCAAAAACGGCGAACCCTTCACTCCCAACGATCGAGTTCGCGTTAACGATGATGAGCTTATTATTGAGAACGTCCAGGAGATCACTGACACTGCCGTCTACCAGTGTAACGCATCCTCGGTCAACGGTTACGCTTTCCGTGACTTTTACCTTAACGTGCTTAAGCTGCCCCCGGAAATCATTGACCCGCCGGAGAAGGAGACGAAAGCCGTCGTCACGTCGAACGTGGTCCTCAAGTGTCGCGTCTTCGGAGCGCCCAAACCTGATGTTAAGTGGCAGAAGGACGACACGCCGCTGAATGGCGCCAACTACGAGATCATCAACGACGGTGATCTGCGCATCAAGAATGTTCTGGTCACTGACCAGGGCAACTACAAGTGCATCGCCACCAATCGGTTCGGCACCAAATTTGCCAGCGGAGAGCTCAAAGTGAAAGGAAAGACAAAGATCATTCATGCGCCAGAGAACTATGAGGTTGCGGCTCGGAAGACGGCAGTCTTTCGCTGTAACGCCGAGTCCGACCCGAGTCTGGACATGAAGATTCAATGGGCATTCAATGAGCGACTCATTGACACTGCCCACGACCCTCGAATAGTGCAGGCCACCGACCACTCGCTGACCATCACCACCACCAAGGAGCTGGACTCGGGCATCTACACCTGCATCGCCAGCACTGACCTCGACTCGGTGAACGCCTCAGCCACGCTCACCGTTCAGGACGTGCCCAACCCGCCTAAAATCATCGACGTCGACTGCAACGGTCTCACTGCCATGGTCGAGTGGGCGCCCACGGGCGACAACCGCGCGCCCATTCTCACGTACGACATTCAGTACAACACCTCCTTCCAGTCGGACAACTGGCAGAACTCCTTTGTCAATGTTCCCGCGCCGGACACCAAGTTCAAGGTGGCCATGAGTCCCTGGGCCAACTTCACCTTCAGGGTCATTGCCAAGAACAAAATTGGCATGAGTGAGCCCAGTGCTCCGTACGGCTTCTGCACCACCAAGGAGGACGTGCCCTACAAGAACCCGGACAATGTGGTTGGTCGTGGAGAGTCGCCGGGCAACCTAGTCATCCGGTGGACGCAGATGACGCCCATTGACCACAATTCGGAGGGCTTTCTCTACAAGGTCTTCTGGAAGCGGCACGACATCAACAATGAGCCGTGGAGCAGTCGGGTGATCAACGACTGGCGGCAAAACTTCTTGGTCATTGAGAACCAGCCGACCTTTAAGCCATATCGCATTCGAGTGGAGGCACACAACCGGCGAGGACCGGCGCACATCACCGCCAGCGAGGTCGTTGGCTGGTCAAGCGAGGCAAAGCCGTTGAGGGCGCCAGAGAACTTTCGCCTTCTTGAAATTCGAGACCACAAATCGGCGCTGGTCGAGTGGGATCCAGTACCCAAGGACAGTGTTCAAGGACACTTTGAGGGCTACAAAATTTTGACGCATGCTGTGGGAGATGACGAGAAGATGGTACGCGAAGTGAAGATCCCACCGAACATTTCAAAGTCACTGGTGCAGATATTCAAACCAAACTCGCGGAACATCGCCAAGATTGTCGTCTACAATACGATGTACATGAGTGACCCTTCCAATGAAATTGTCATCATCACGCCCGAAGGAGTGCCCGGACCTGTGGCATCATTTGAGGGCATCCCAATGGGCTCCAATGCCATTTACCTCTTCTGGTCACCGCCTGATGAGCCGAATGGTAAAATCACTGGCTACCGAATTTTCTACGAGACAGTTGAGGGAACTGAGTTGGGCACCAAGCAGGAGCGATTTCCGCACATTGAAGACCCGAAGATAACGGGCGTCAAGTTGGGCACTCTTCGATCAGGCACCAAGTACCGCGTGACAGTGCACGCAGTTACCAAAGTTGGCATGGGAGAGCCCTTCTTCATTGAGCTGGAAACAAAGGGCGATGATGCGGCAGGAATCCCTGACAAGCCCATCTTTGACGTGAACCACGTTCGTGGCAACGACGGCACTGACCACGTAAAGATCACCTGGTATCCAAACTCATCGAAAGTGCCTGGCAGCAACTTTTATGTTCAGTATCGTCTTAAAGGTAAACTTGGCGCTACTTTGCAATTTGTATTTGTAAAACTCATTTTGATTTCGATTTACCAGGAACGAACACATTCTTCAGCACGCCAAGAGATGAAAACCAAGAATCGACCATTGTGTACATCAGTGGACTGGACTCTGAGAAAACCTATGAGTTCCGCATAGTTGCCGTCGATGGAAAGTACGAGACACCGAGCGAACTGAAAGAGATTACGCCTAGTGGTATGACGCACAATTTGCTCTTTTTTTGACTATAAATAACCAGCTTTTGTTTAATTATTTCAGGCGCATTTGGTTTAGATCCAGTGGGCCATTTAGCCAACTTTGCTCCATGGTTCATTGGAATGATGTGCGCCATTGCGCTGATTATCGTGGTCGTTGTACTAGTCTGCATTGTCAAGAGGAATCGAGGCGGCAAATATTCAGTGCACGAGAAGGAGGTGGCCCATGGCAAGGATGACTACGAGGATGCAGGCTTCAATGAGTACAACAAGCCACTGTCGGCGCCCTACCGAGGCAGTCGACAGTCGCTGAGCAGTAGTCTGCACCACCCGGAGAGTGACGAGGACTCCATGGCTGACTATGAGGGCGACAGCTCCAAGTTTGGCGAAGACGGCTCTTTCATTGGCGAATACGGTAAGGCGTTCTCACTGTGATTTATATTAACAGCAGCAGTGATTAACCGATGTGTACTTTTCAGGTCCAAAGAAGAAGCGCGATGACCCTCAGTCCCCAACTGGAATTGCCACTTTTGTGTAGTAGCCAGTTTCAGCAAAAACAACAACACCGACACCGAGAACTGCCAACTGCCTTATAGCCCACTGGAAATTCCATTCTTGTTTGAAACTGCTATGCCATAGCTTTAGTCAATGGCCGACCAACCCCCGAGTGATGTAAATTGTATTTATTGACTGGCCTCCTCTGTCCTTTCTATCTTGTCCCCTTTCTCTCTCGTTTATTCTTCTTTTTTCTATATTTGCCTCCTTCTCTTCTTGTTGGCGCAGGCAAGTTTGAGGCCTTCCCCCACGAACATTCCAATTCTATTTCACAAATTGACAGCTAAGCCCAATTCTTCCTATCGACCTTACGCTCAACCCTAGGAATTTAATTATTTATATATCCTTTTTGTATTATATACACCTTCTAGCTGTCCCCATTTAAATCTACCATCGTCATTTACTGCACTTGTTTCATACTCTCTAGTTCAAACCTAACCAAATTTGCGCAGGAAGCAACTAAATTTAAATACGGTCACTGGGCATCCTCATCGTTCACCAATGCTTGGCTAGTGGCCGCTAGTGTAGCTCCACTTGTAATGTGTTCTCTTCTCCGAAAGCAATTTCGTGTACATAGACGTTACCAGGGACTTCAACTTCACCGCGAGCAGCTCTACTTCAAGCAGTCTAGCAAACTTTTACCAACTTCTTTGTTATCTCTCTTTACAACCTCATTACTTACACACTTACCTGTACAGAACACCACATTATTTTATATTTTGACATTTATTTTTATAATAAAACTAAAATATCTACACCAACTTGATTGCATTTCAAAATTATTGTCACGTTGTTTGTGACTGTCTCTGAAAAAAGAAATTCAGAAAAAATAATTTTTCTGAAATCACAACATTCAGTCGCAAAAGTCCTAAGCTGAAAAATTAAAGCGGACACTCCCAAATTCTTCAACTAGACTTTCTTGACAACTGCTTTAGAATTTGCCAACTTTGTCCTCAGTATTATAAACTTGGCGTGGTGTAATTTGCATCACTTGCTCTGTTTCAGCATTTCAACACAAAATGGCAGAAGAAGCCGATCAGGTATGAACGCTTTATTTATTATAGCTGATCAACTTAAACTGATTTAGTGATGTTTGAAATCATAGTTCTTAACACTTAAATCAGTTGATATTTATGATATCTCCAATGATGTCTTAAACGTTAGGAACAAAACTAATGGGTAGATCAATTTGGTACACACCTGCGTCATTGCATCAATGAACGTGTGTGGTGCCGGTTTTTGTTGATTTTCTGTTTATGATGACTGTCATTTGCCGTGATTAATTTGTTGTCTCTCGCCCATTTCAGACTACAACAAGTAACGTCCAGGAACCTCTGGATTTGATTCGTCTCAGCTTGGATGAACGCATCTTTGTGAAGCTTCGAAATGATCGTGAGCTTCGAGGCCGACTGCACGCCTACGACCAGCACTTGAATATGGTTCTCAGCGACGTGGAAGAGGTGTACAAAACCGTTCAGATCAACGAAGAACCATTTGAAAATAGCGTACGCACAGAGAAGCGAAGTTTTTCCATGTTGTTTGTGCGTGGAGACGGCGTCATTCTTGTATCTCCTCCCACTCGAGGCTCTGCCTAAACATTTTTGTTCATTACGTCGCTGTGTTCGTGATTTCATCTAAACATTTTTTCTCGTGATTCCAATAAATCAGTGTCTCTACTTTATTCTTTGCCTTCCGTAACAATGGATAGTTCCTTGAGCTTAAACAACTTTAAGCAAGATCGCGTATTTGCGGCCTTTCTCGGCGATAGCTTCAACCTACAGGGCACTATTGCTTCCATCAATAACCTCCCACCCGCGGAACAACTAGCAAAGATTGCCTCCGGAATCGAGTATGTCAAACACAGTATTAGTTTATTGACATCCCAAAACTGTGAGGAATTCTTTCAGCGAACTTCAAAACTTGAGGATTTATATCAGGAGCTACAGTTCATCCAAGTAAAATCTCAAAATCTTGCAAAAACACTCGATTTGATCCGATCAAAGCTGGAAGTGCCATATAATCAACTGCTGAGACAGATTGCTCTGATATCTCGTTTGCAGAAAACATGCGACCTTTTGAGGAAAATGCTTCGAATTATTCACCTGTCTAAGCGAGTTTACGAATGCAATTTAGAGGCTTTTAAGCACGAACATGAACACACCATATACCTGAAGGAGATTGTCAAAGTATCACAGTACATAAATGAAGTGGACCTGATCATCTCGTCAGACGAGGAGAAACTGCTTTTCCGACTAAAGCTAACTAAAAAGGACCTAACGAGAATTGCGGAGATTAAATCCAGTTTAATTTTAGAGACTGACCAACTGCTGGCGACTTCATTGGCCACTCCGAATGGCGACTCCAATGTCATCAGCACCGCCCTTCAAGTGTTTCACAATCTGGGCATACTGAATGAAAAGTTGAATGGCCTTGTAAGTGAAAAGTGCACTCACATCAGTCAGACGGTGAACAAGAGCTTGAGCGTACGTGAACTGAAGGGCGTCAAGCAGAACGTTCACATTGGACCGAATAGTGCCCTGCGAACGACACTGCGAAACAGCGTCAAGTCGATGCTCGACTCGGTGGCCAGTCACTTCAACCAGGTGGGCCAGGTGATTCGATTGCTGAAGAAGAGGCGTGACAACTTCAGTCAAACTCTGCTGATTGAGTTCATCGACAATAAGGAGACAATACTGGGGACGATGTGGGCACGTGTCGCGCAGTCGATGTCTTCTCTCATCACCAAACAAGTGAACGAGTCTGCCGGTNCGACAACTTTAGTCAGACTCTGCTGATTGAGTTCATCGACAATAAGGAGACAATACTGGGGACGATGTGGGCACGTGTCGCCCAGTCGATGTCTTCTCTCATCACCAAACAAGTGAACGAGTCTGCCGGTCTGAAGCAGCTCATTGAAAGTGATTACCCCAACGTGTTGCTCATCTTTCTGGACTTTTGGAGGGCGATCAATCAGGCGAATGAAGCAGAGCANTGACAACTTCAGTCAAACTCTGCTGATTGAGTTCATCGACAATAAGGAGACAATACTGGGGACGATGTGGGCACGTGTCGCGCAGTCGATGTCTTCTCTCATCACCAAACAAGTGAACGAGTCTGCCGGTCTGAAGCAGCTCATTGAAAGTGATTACCCCAACGTGTTGCTCATCTTTCTGGACTTTTGGAGGGCGATCAATCAGGCGAATGAAGCAGAGCATATTGGCACTGAAAAGTCGCTCCGCTCCATCATATTGAACTTTGAAAGTGCCTACTTATCCTCCTCCCTCTCAACGCTGTTCGATTCGGTGAATCGAATCTTCAAGGATGCCAAGGAGTCGAGCAAATCTAGCTCCTCCAAAGTGGTCTCAGTGCCATCGGAAAAAGACGTGGACACCCTTATTCGGTGCATCAACCATGAGTTGTCAATGGCCAGTTTGGACGCGATGTTGATCCAGTCCGTTTGCAAGAATGTATTTCAGACCATCAACTTATTTATGGTGAAATGTGAAAATCTGACACTGGTCGACGGAGACTCAACCCAGGTGATTGGCTCCTTTACGGCCAGTCAGCGACACAACTCCCTAATTGTGCACATCCTCAGCTTCTTTGCCCGGCAAATCAGCGCCTCGCTGGCCAGCTACAAAAGCATAAACCAAGTGGAGGTTCA